CTAAAAGCCCCCCCCCCCCCTTCAATTCAAGCTTGCAATGTCATCATTAATGGTACCCCAAACTCCAGGAAAATGTCCGGTAAAATGTGCGTCAATGCAGGAAAAACACTGGAAGCTTCGCAGTGAAAATGATGCATGAGCTTTATGCCGCGAGTGCAAATGGGCTACGCGCAGCACAAATCACGCAAATGTGACGCACACTCTTGGCACGCCAAGGTGTGAATGGGGCCTAAGTGATACTTTTATATCTCCATCAATAAATATATTTTCAGAACATTTTATTTTATTATTATGAGACCACATAGAGAAACAAAACAAGTTTTCTGGGTAGCTGGCCGTAATACGTTCGAATTATGAGAACAGCAAGCCATAGATGAACTTTGGCGTGCTAACCCTTATATCAGAAAGTGCTCTCAGACGTTTCCCCGCTGATCCTGAGCCCATTCCACCCGATGGTGGGGCGCCATGCCCTCTCCCGTCTCTCTACAGTCTACACACTACTACCGGCGGCGAGCCCCCTCTCCCCATACACTCACTGCGGGAGACCAGGCTGGTGACGTCACCGGCAAGCTATGGAGGGGCGGGGCCGTCTCTTTGAAGTTCCTCGGTGCACGCGACTCCAAAGGGCGTATCTGTAGTACAGTTCGTAACTGGGAGATGGGGGGCGGGGGTGCGCGCTCCAGGTAGCGGTGGGCGTGGCCTGCAGCGCGCCGCCCCGTGTGATGCGGCTTCGGGGTCGCGCCGGGTTCCGGGAGCGCGCAGTGTGCTCGGGTCTCTGCTTTGCGCCGCGGTCAGTCTGGGCTGCAGTCAGTGAGAAAGTGAGAGCCGAGGTTGTAGTGTGGTTCCTCTTCCAGGGATGCTGAGGAGCAGGACTCGGTGAGGAGGTGCGGGATGGCGGCTTGGGGCCCCCCGAGGTCGCCTGTCCGTATGACCCGGGGGCTGCTCGCGGTCTCCATCCTTCTCATCTTCGGGCAGGAGCCAGCTGGAGCCGTAAAGACTGCAGGTAAGGAGTGAGGGAGAAGGGGCCCGACGAGCCGCAGAGGGAGGAGGGGAGGGGGGACAGTGATTGGAGGACAGGACGGGGCACAATACAGTCCGGGCTGTACGATCGCTGAGGAGCCAATGTGACCTGACCGCAAATGTCACCGCTGTGTACGGGGGTGGGGGTGTAATACAAAGAGAGCTCAGACATTGCTGGGGGGTCACCATCCTCCTGGGCTGCCATTTGTTTCTGTTGCAGTGATTTAATGCAGAAGCTTCCCGTGCTCAGAAATGTGAATCCCCCAACCAGTCATTATGGGGGGGTTGTAGTTTCATATCAATCAGATTCTGTCTTGTGGCCCTTGAGGATGATGAGGAGGAGCATGCTGCAGGCTTTTGTGGCAGCTTGTTGCCAAGTTGCGTGGTGGTCTGCCCTGGGGGGCTGCGTGGCGGTCTGCCCACTGGTGAACCAGTGGTGTACACATTTTTTTATGGAAATTCAGGCACCAGTCTGTCACATAGTGTAGATTGCAGGATATTATATTAGCCAGCTGTACATTTTTTTTAGGGAGCTTTGGCTACCTGGGTCCTTGGATTTGTCCAGCCCTGGGGTAGACTGCCACGATGTGGGGTAGACCAGTGGTGGACAAATTAATATGGAATTCAGGAGCCAGCACGATTTATTTAAGGCCCCGTTCACACCAGGGCGATTTGGTTTGTGCAGAATTTGTTCACGCTGAACCACTGACAAAAACAGTCGCAAACGTTGCTATGGGGGACCGTTCATGCAATCGCTCTGCTCTGCTCGATCCGAACCACATGCCGCCCAAAATCCTCCCTGAGCTACTTTTTTTGCACTGTTCAGCGCATTTTTGGGCGTCTTTAATTGTGTTTGAGTGCTGAAAGGCGACTAAAAATGCCCTTTCAAAAATTGCGTGGAAACAGTGCTGAAACGGTTCCGCCCTGATGTGAATAGGGCCTAAGGAGGCAGCTTCACTGACAACAACTGGAGAAAAGCTGGAAAGTTAGGTGTCAGCTGTAAATTTGAAGGAGATTTGCCAAGCCCAGTGGTAGGCGGCCTTACAATGCTGTATGGTGGACTGCCACCATGATGCCGCCTGTTTGCCAGCTTTGTAGTGTTTGATTGTGTTGGGTGTCAAAGTATGTGTATATGTGGCCCCAGCTACTAAATGGCTCTACGGTTTCATTGTGTGTTTTGTATCATTTTGCATGTTTTCCGATTGATCGATCACAGTTCTTGACATTTTTACTTTAGATCCTGTTCATACCTGTGCGATTTTGAAGTGCTTCAGCTGTTGTGCGATAATGCACAACTTGGAATCTTTTTATCTATGGAGCCCCTTTTGTGTGTCTTGGAAAATGGTGCAGGGGTTTTTTTTTGTGCAACACAGTTTAGCCCCATAGACTTCATTGGCAGTTGAGGGAAACGCATGTGACATGCGGTTTATTGAATTTTAGCATACAGCCACAAATCCCACCCCCTAGCAACCTCGACTTTATTTGACTTTCATTGGCTAAACAAACAAAAACCAAAGATGGTGTTAACACACACACACACACACACACACACACACACACACACACACACACACACTCCTACCCCGCGTGTGCAACCTCGACTTTATTTGACTTTCATTGGCTAAACAAACAAAAACCAAAGATGGTGGTTACACACACACACACACACACACACACACACACACACACACACACACACACGATTCTCCTGGTCGTCTGCTTTATGTTCTCTCATAAGTGCAGACCTTCCTGTAGGTTTATCATCTGACTCACACTCCAGACTCTTGTGCATGTTGTGTACTGTTTTTTTCACTTGTGTTCTGCATACATATGTAGACAATTATCCTTCCTTCAGGTTTGTAAGCAGATTGTCGGATCTGAACACACAGCTGGAAATGCCGTGTATGTTAACAATTCATATTTGTTTACCAAGCGTTGCATCCTGTTTATTGTTTTCTGTTTCTACATGTCAGAGACATCATTTGGCAATGTATATGATGTTTTCCTGGCCATGTCGATGGATGTGTTTCTTTAGAGTGATCCTTAGTATTGTTTTCTTTCTTAGTGAGGATCTAAAGTTTGGAATCCAGCTGACCTGAAATGTTGAATGATTGTAGCTGGCGATGGATGATGATGATGATTCTCTTCCGGACTTCCTTAGGGCTCTGTACATAGAAGTACAAAGGAGATATTTGGAATGTGCTTTCTGTTGCTGAGTAGTCTTACATCTCGAGTGTGTACAGCTCGGATATTTGTTAATACATAATTACTCTTTCTAAATGCGAATGGTTTTCTTAAGGCACTGATGTGTAAATATTTTACTGAAGTACATGTTTAATTATTCATGCTACATTTTCATATTTGTGCAGTAATTTCTCCGATTTGCTGAGTTTCATCCTGGCATTCAAGAGCAAAATGGAACATCTTTTGGAGTTCTTCCCCCTCTGTATCATCAGCCTACATCTGCCTAGTAATTCAATCAAGAAATGTGTTGGGGGTGGGGGGTCTGAGTAGAAGACAACACAGAAGATTACAAGAGCACTGGGACCTGTCTGCAGTTCCATTCTCCTGAGGTCTTACTAGCTGTGATATGGCCTCAGTTTCAGCAAAGATTTTAGGATCAGACAGACCCGACCC